GTTCGTTTAGCGTCCAGTAATAGAATGGCAGTGTGTTATCCATCCTCTTACAGAATTCCCTGAATAAAAACATATGCTCACCCTCAATATTTTGAATTCAAAGAGTTGGGGTCCAAAGTATCGAACTGATGTTTTGAGTAAATACCCTTGCTTCACATGGAACAAATAAATTTGCTAAGAACACAAGCCTTTTACCTTTCATAATATAGCAGACTTCTACTCTCCTAGATAGCTGAATTAATTTCAGCCGGTTGTAAGCAGACGTTTACCTGACAAGTTTGGGCCAGTACTCTGTCCAGTCTTTCAAGGTGAAGGTAGTGCCAAGTTTGCGATGGGCAATGGAAAACAATGTTTCCAGATCATCTGTTCCACCAGCTCTTGGATGCTCAGCATATCCCAATTCATCATTTTCTCTCCTTCTGAACTCTTGACTTTCAATATTTGTTGTCATTTCAACAAGGGTTTCCCGTGAAAAGCCACAAATATTATTTGTTGGTCTATAAATTGAAGATGTACAATATTGTTTGAATTTACAAAAGATGCCACAACCAATGGGAAATTTCTCAAACTTGGCTCAAATTGAAAAATCACCACCACTCATTCTATAACTCTTCAGGAGTTCACAGATAGCTGTAGCTATATGCATAAATAACCCTGTACATACATTACCTTTATCACATCATAATTTACAATATATAAAAACATAATATTTCATTTATACACAATACTTTTAACCCATTAAGCGCTCTTCCCTTGAGGAGTAAAATATAAATTAGGGCACATCATGAAGCAATGCGACTCAATGGGTTAATTAGACACATGGGCAGATCACTGAAATGAATATAACTGGAATGCTACCTTAAGATAAACTGCCAATGAATCTTTTTCTTGAAGCCAAATCTGACCTCCAGACCAAGACACACATGTTTATATTATGATTGACTGCGTCAATCGCATTTGCATGCGTGAAAAGACTGGGACTGGCCTTCAAATTTGGCTTCAAATTTTTTGTTGGATATAGCGTTCCACCTATATTCATTTCAATGGGGCAGATATGCCAGTTAACCCATTAAGTGCCAGCGTGTACAGTACCTGTTAATGTCAATAGTTGAGAAATCATAGCAATCTTTGTGCCATGGCATCCATTCGTCCAATATATAATTGAGCATGTTGTAGTTGTATCTACACCTTTGTAGTTGTGTTAGACTACGCCCATCACTAGCCTCATGCCAATTCACCAGCAGCTGTACATGCTGAGCTTCTTTCTCATGTTCACTTTTTCTGAGTGACCGAACAACAAATTTCGAAACCAGTCGTTCTGCATCAACAAGTGACTGCTTTCTCAAACCGATAAGGACTGCATGTGTCAGGCCACTGCCAGGATCAAGAAGAACATCATCAAATGCTTCAAAATTGAGACCTTGATGGTTGCCATCCCGAATGCTCTTTACAGCTCGTCGGAAAAGGTGATTATGGTCACTCCGATCATGTCGTACATCTTTGGTGATTGGATCTACCTCAGGAACATAAATGTAGAGGGAAAAATCAACACCATTTCCCTTCAGGTGTTTGATCGCATCTCTGTATATGCATGTTGCAACCAAGCTCCTCAGCATATCAAGAAAAGATTCTTCTGTATCCTTTTTGAATGGATATGGAGTATAGCCCACTGGAACCAAACTATTCCTGACTTGCTTCACTGCATCTTCCAAGGTAAGGTTTTCAGATATTTGCAGGTTGTGGATTAGGTTGATAAAACTGTGTGGGATTGCTGCATTTGGTTTTTTCACCACAGGATCTCCACATTCACTTTCTGTAAAGAACAAAAAAATATGCTAAATGACATCCCTTTTAATGTAGCAATGGTACAACACCAATATTCGTCCTTTTATATTGATATTAATCTTCAATACATATAACTGCACTGAAATTATGTATTAATTGTACCAACATGGCTGATAAATACAAAATCTCATAAAATTGAGTTATAGTCTGATATTAGAACTAGTTGTACACCTACTGTAAGTATGGTAATTGCAAAAATGACCCTGTCACTTAGGTAATCTAGTCCATGTTTACATACCCTGTATATTTGCTTCTTTTATAAATTGCTTACCTCCACACTTTATCAGCATTGCTAAGAGGGTTTTCTTTGACATTTTCTGCACTGCTTCTTTGCTGTCATGGATTAACTGCCAAATGTGCAGAGGTCTTGTTTCCCCTTGGCTCCTTAATGAACAGAATTCACCATCTGTTACAGTACCTAGAGCATACAAAATATAAAACAATAAACATCTGATGTGACCTTTGCTATTTTACTGCCCAATGCAAAACAATTTACTCATTAAGGGGAAAGTATTACAATTGATGGGTTAACAAGACCACAGTGACTGCCCATAATTCTCTTGTTAACCCATTCTCGTGTTAACACAAGTCTCGATGAGACCTTTTTCGCACCATCCTTTGCTATTCAATTAACACATGACAATATACTTGTCAAGGGGGAAGTGTTTAATGTACACTGTAAATAGGTTAATTAAGTGCCAGCGCTCTCCCATTGACGAGTAAAATTGTCTGGCGTTAGACAGAGTAAAAAGGGGGTGCATCAAGGCCCAATGGGTTAATAATCAAATGAATTGAATTATCTCTTGTCCAGCTAACAGTTCCTGCAAATACAACATGAACAATTTAACTGTTAAAATTTACAGTACTATTATACAGTACCAACAACTTTTAGTCCTCTTTCCACCATCTTTCTCTTAATATCTCTGTTGAAATCTCTGAGCTGTTGGTCCTTTAAGCTTTCATATGCAATAAACCTTACTGGCAGAGCATATGGCTTTTTTGCTCGCCTCTCATCAGATAGCATAGTGACTAGGACATGTGAAGCTGCAGTCCGTCTTTTCTTGTATATGTCACAAAGATAAGACTTGCTCTTCACTGCTAGTTTCTTGATATTGGCAGCAGTTGTCTCATCTAACTCATCAGGGAAAGCATCATCCAATGTGTCTTTGACATTTTCACACAGTAATTGAGATTGCTGCAGCAATGTGTTGTGTTCAACAATGTCCCAATTAAGTTCTTTCAAAGTTTTATTTGGTACCTGCTTCTGGAACTTCTCATGGTAAACTGCTCTGGCTCTCTGAAAACCATTCATCAAGTATGGTATATCATTCTTAAACATGTTAATGAGCTTGGTTCCATTTATTTGCAAATTTTGACAATCTGATTTGCTGAACTTATCAACGTCTGTCAAATGATTTTCATACTGCTCTCTTAGCTTTTTCAATTCTCCATCATTCATATCAACATCTCCATTCCACACACGGCGTGCAGATTCCATAAGTGCAGTCTTGATGTCGGTGCCGTCAATCTTGATCCAAAATCGGCCATTTGTTTGTTTCAACTGATCAAGAGCAGAAACCTTGAGAAAAAAATACAAAAAATTTCTTTTGGTTGTATTTAAGGATGGAGAGTAGCAGACAAAAACACGGTCTATTCTTAAAAGAAACTTCAATGTCTGTAATGTATAACAAACATTAAAGAATTAAATTAGCTCAGCCAATAAGTGCGAAGCTAGTTAAACATGATTGGCTGATCCAATTGAAACCTATCAAATGCTCTTGACAAACATTAAAGTTTTGATTGAGAATAAACAATGGTTTTGTGTTCATCCCTATATGCAACTGACCATATTCTATTTAATTAATCACACTTACCAAACATTGCAGTACGTTCAAGCAAAATGTTTTTCGAGCACAAATCAATGCTCTATTACTCTAGTTAACCCCTTTAAGCAAATTTTGAAGTACATTACTCTGATCAAAATTACTGTTGATAAAATGTAATTATCAAAGCCAATACTGTGTGGAACAAGACTCAGTCAATTGAACTGACAGACTCAAATTGTGACTGAAGAATTACCTGAATATCTGTAGTAGCGGAAAAACTAGTATATTTCTTGGACTTGCTCCAATGTGACACAAGACTTGTACATGGAACATTGGTTAATGCCTACAAAAAAATTTACTCTAATTTAAACATTTAAATGCCACCCTAAGCAATTTACAGGCTTGTTGTTATACGTTTATCCAAAAAATATTATCTAATGTTAACTGGTACCGGTATGAGTCGTATCACATTGCCTTTGTACAGTATTTTGGTTCCGAATGTATATTATGATTGAAAGTGACTAGAAATTTGAGGCAACATTTACCACTCATTGACATAGGATTTGTCAATCTGGTACTCATTTTAAATAATTAATAAGATTAACAAAAATGATCTTCCCAAACAGTAGAACAACCAGTACCTTATGTGGATTCCCATAATATTTTGTCTCCTGGTTGCTCCACATAGGTCCAGCAAACAAGCGATGAAATCTACTAGGAAATTCGGTTTCCATTGTTTCCAGCCAAATGCGGTAGTCCTCGGGCTCACATATCTTAAACAGTCAATAGATACAGTAGAAGTTATTTAAATAACCTGTTTTTCAGGACAAATAGTGGTGTGTTACTTATATTAAGAGTGTTACTTGAATGAAACAAATTGCAGTACCTGTCTGGTGTTTGTGCATGTGAAGAACTGTATGACATAATCAAGCAGGCCAAATGGCATTCTGTCCAATCTCATCAAATAACTAGACTGGTCAAAATTATTCACATCAGTCAGCATTTGGCAGAACTTATAGACGAGATTACATCTGCTTTCAGCTTGCAGTCGTTTCATGGCTTTGATTGATGTTGTAATAAAATGCTTTGGATTTGAACGTATTCCTTCCATTACCGCAATTTTGAAGTATAGTTTATCTAAATGTTTGCTGAATAACTGCTGTTCAGTTGTTTGACAAATACCAACTTTTTCATTTACTTTTGTAAATAGCTTAGTTATTAATGATAATAGTTCACATCTATCATCGTAAAACTCATGTATGCATTCCATCTTTTCATCTTCAGTTAGTGTTTCCATATACTTTTTTATTAACAAAATCTTGTCATCCTTCGTTAGAATCAGAGGGTCAACATTTCTTCGCACTTGCTCTGACATCCTTTCTGAATTTCTCAAGTTGGTACATGGTGTTTCAGTGCTCATGTAGTGACTAACAGTCAGACCAAGATTGTCCTCAGCATTGTCAATTGATGAAAACTTGGTCTTGAGAAAAGACACTCTTGAACGTATAGACATTGCTAGAGAAAAATATAAATTAATTAAAGTGGAAAAAGTATTGTGTTACTCTAATTAAATGGTTGATTATGCATCACCATGCACCTTGTAAATGTTAAGTGTGAGCTAGGTGGTGGCAAACACAAGGGCATTCAACATTTTTTATTGAGGTGACATCATACTGGCCACTCTTGGGATGATAGTCACTGTGAAATAATAAAAAAAGGTGAATGTCACACAATATCATCAGACCCCCAGGCCACAGCACGGTAATAAAATATCCTCTTTCTGGGGATGGCGGTTGATGTCGAATTTCCCACCTACAGGGGTATATATGATGTCAAATCCTTCAGGATTTCCCATTCTCCTCCCCTGCAGCTTATCATTGACAGGTGCATTACACAGAATCATAAACATGTTAACCCATAAAAGCAAAAAAGCATGAGATAACTGCAATGTGACTTACAAGGTCTGATATGAACCGTTGGTGCATTTTCTTTAATGAATTGTGCAGCTTTCTCCCAATATTTATGTTGCACTCTCATACTTGGCCAGTCACTACTGGTAGGTTGCAGATCTCTGTGGAGGGCAATAAACTCAATTAATGACTTATCTTCTTCTGACGTCCACACATTTCTTTTTTGTTTTGGAGAGAATGTTAGCTCCTTTGGTGAATGGCGCCCCTTGGCTCTTGTTACGAGGTATTTCGCTGCCTGTGAGAGGGATTGATATAATTTAATACTATATTAAACAGTCATTATTCATACTAATTAATATTAAACCATATATACATATTAAACATACATAAATTTTATTACGAATTAACGTAAAATCATTTGCTTACTCTCTGGGCAGGAGATGGCTGCTTTGTAAAAGTTAATTTTTTAGCTGATTTTAATGGACTTGGACCAACGAGAGATATTTTCCTCGATGGTTTGTGGGGCGTGCTACCAGAAGGGACATAGCTTCTTTTGTCTGCGACGTTCGCAGAATCTTCGTTTGTACCGTCATCCTAAAGCAATAATTGATGCAATAATTATGACAGACAGTGCGCATTATACATGAATGAGTGCGAATTGACCACTTGCGTAAAATACACTATATTTTGATTTAAACAAGTCTAGACAAAAATTTCATCACAGCTTGAAAGAGCATCAAAAAATTATTTATAATATTCCAATGTTTCTTTGCGCAATGTTGTAAAATGCGGATAATATAGCCTTGCCAAGTTTGCAATTTTCAGTCATTTTGGATAACAAACGGGAAATTGACAGCCCAACTGCCCTTTCATGGCTTTTTTTACGAGACTTCTATCGCGAGTTTAATGGCGCCACATGGCGCATTTTTAGTACTGGCGGGCCGGCGCCGACACATGAAGCATTATTTTGAAGGTTTTCACTTGTCAAAACGACTGCCTATATTAGGGTCTTTTAGGGTCTTTTTTGTATGAGTGAGAAGTAAAAATGCCATAGTGTGTTAGTGTTTAATGCTTGGTGGAAAAACTCCAAGCGTAGTGTAGATATTTGCAAATGCGTTGTCGGTATTTTTGCGAGCTGATGCTGCGGACTACCTCGCTTGCTCGGGACCTTGGATAGAAGGTTGGAAGGGACGTCGCGTAAAGTTGTTTTGTGTTATGAGAAGCATTTGCATGCTTTGCTAGAACTATTAATATGTATAAGATACGGTTTACTTACCATATTTTGCATTTCTTTGTGACATATAACGTCATTGAGTTGACCATATGAATTATGCATGACCTTTCGCCATGTTTGTTTTGCGCTAGCTGGAGTCGCGGGTGGTGACGCGATGCATGCCGGAATAACGTTAATATCCTCCTTTGGCTTAAACTAAACCAAATTGTCTGACATTTTGTACAGTAATTAAAAACCCAACAAAGTTTCCATCTGTTAACTCAAAATATGATTACAACTTTTAAATTTTGTGCGCGAGCCATTTGTTGGAAAAGACACACACCCCTGGTTCACAAAATTTGAGTTTGAGAATTTTTTTCCATTATTCTACATTATAAGTACCTTAAGAGGCTATATATATATATATATATATATATATATATATATATATATATATATATATATATATATATATATATATATATATATATATATATATATATTTACAGCTATTTACACCCGGGGAAACGAAAACATTAGCGAAGTCTAAAGCAGTGAACTGTATACATGGAAGGCTGACTTCAGTCAGTTACGTATTTAAAATGTGAAACCAAAGATGGCGGATTTTGAAGCCATTCTTGGGCGTCATTCTCAGTCCCCTTACGTGCGCGGCCAAACATTTTTTTATATTTTCATGGCGGGAAGTGATGGGTCCGCGACTCTCGGGTTGTTTTTCTTCATTTTAAATGAGCAAAAAAGGAAATAAAATTCATTTATTTCATGTAAACCTGAATTCCTTCATCTACTCGATTTGTCCACTGCATTTTCCACTGTATGTGTGAGTAAATCTGTGTTTTTCGTTGCGAATTCAACAACTAATTTCAAACTTTTTTGCTTTTTTGAATAAATCTGTATTTTTATAAATTGGGAATTTATTTTTGCTTTAGTTGTTTTGCTTTCGTGTTTCTATGGTGCTTTTCAGTTTTCACACCATTATTTAGCTTATTTTAGTCCGTTTTCCTGACCTGAAACTGCTTTTTAACTGCAGTTTTCGAGGCAGTTTTTAGCCAACTCAATTCCATACATGTAAGAAACTATTTTGTTTTTCTATTTTTTATTTAATAAAATCTCTTTGATGATTGCCTTATAAACTTAAACTGTTTATTTTAATGAGTTATTTATGTTTGTGAAACCCTTGTCAATAGGGACAGTGCAGATATTTTGAAAGATTGAGTGACATTTGTGTTTTGTTTTGTCACTCTTTGTCATTTACAAAAATAACAATCTCGTGCTATTTTGCTTTCTTTTCACTCAAATATCGCTTCTTTTAAATAAATAATAATTAAAATTTAGAACCGAACCCAAACAAAACACCAGAATTCAACTTTTCATTCAAATTTCGTCTGTCTTTCACCAGATTTTTACTCGGAAAGTAAAGAAAAATATAAAAGTTTTGTTGACCGCGCACGTAATTGGACTGAGAATGACGCGCAAGAATGCCTTCAATTTCCGCCATGTTTGGCTTGAGTTTTTGAGCTCGAGTCAGCCTTCCATGTTATATAGTTCAGTGGTCTAAAGTCCATCAATTATCGCGGGCGCTCACCAACGGTGTTGAGTCGGTGGTCATCACTGACCTCAGAATATAGCTGTTTGCCAGGAGTGAAAAAGGCAAAAAATATAAAAAAATACTTGTAAGAAAGCTTGGAAAATCGTTTCACATAACAAATTGTACAACTCTTTTGCAACTTTTAAACGCAAACATTCACAAGAGTTGATATTGTATAATAAATCCTAAAGTATAAGGCAAGTTTGTTTCAATTGTTTATGTAATAACTATGACTTTGTATTTAATAATATAGACTTTGTTCTTGATGTTTAAGTCTTTCCTATGCATTGTTTGCGAAAGTTTCTTAATTAAATTAACTTTTGTAGATCGAAGTTCATGATAAAAAGGTAAGCAAATTATTTTCATTACCGTCCTGTACGAATTAAATTTGTTTCACTAGTGAGTAATAAGTTGATTTCATTTGCGAGTAATAAGTTGAAGCTCGAGTTGAGAAGTTTTATATAAATATCGGCATAAACCATAAAGCAGTTAATTTCAATTCACATTTAAAAACGCTTTACGTAGAGTTTCGTATAGAACCCAAAATATAGAACCGAAAATATTATACCTACTTAAGAATAATTATACTATATACTACATAATAATTATACTATATAACAATATAATAATTATATAATAATTATATAATAATTATATATAATTATATAATTATATAATTATATATAATATTATATAATTATATATAATATATAATATTATATAATTATATATAATATTATATAATTATATATAATTATATATATAATTATATAATAATTATATAATAATTATATAGTATATAATTATTATATACGATATAATAATTATACTATATACTACTTATATTTTATTATACCTACTTTATTAAGCCTATAGAACCCAAAATATTATACCTACTTTATGTATTTTAGAAATTGATAGTTCTGTGTTTAAAAGTGTTCAAATTTCATGTATTTTTTCCCGGTTTGTACAAAAAATTAAAAAAACAATTATCGTGTTGCCATGATTAACATGACGTGGCAACGCGAGCCTGCGTTCAGTGTTGGCGTAATTACGAATACTTCATGTTGAAACAATATGTTTGGAAAATATAGGCGACGGGTTGTTGCATGTGTGTATTTCTAGTATAAATATATTGTAGGCTGGCCAGTATGGCATAGCATACTATGAATCTCAGGGAGTCAGGGCAAGCGAAAACGCGGATGGAGACTAGAGTCGTAGGATGTTTACTTGTACTAACTCTCCAAGTTTAAAAAGTTCCCTAAGTTTAATTTACAGTCGTTACGTTAAACATACAGAAATAGACAAATAGACACCCGTGCGTGTTGAAATATTATTTAAGCTATGACCTACAAGGGCTACATTTGATTGTATTTTTGTCATTTTGATTGGCCGAAATTAATGAGTGATAAAAATGATCCTTTTCAACTTCATAAGTAAGTTTATAAAAACAAGGAAGCCAATCAACTTACACCATGGGATTCACAACAAGTGAGTCTCACAAAGAGGGACAATAAAAAACCCAAACTAAATCGTCCTATCAAGGCCTATGTTACGCGAAACTGGCAGGTAACAAGTCCAAATCCCCGGCTTTTTGATAATAATAACCCAATGTGTGATTTCGCTAAGACAAGTGAGTCAAGCTAAGACAAGTGAGTCAAGAAATGCTCATATCACGATCTTTGAATGATCATTTTTTTACTAATTCCTCAAACAACTTAAATTAAAGTTTAAAAGCATTAGAACGACTTGCAATTATGATAGAAGATATATTTTATACTCCATGAATGGTGAAAATTGGTACAAAACCGCCTAAAATATCAATAACTGAATGCCTACTCGAATTTTTCTTCACTCAGCCCAAGTTTTATTAAATTTAGATCAATCAGATAGCGTGTTTTTTGTGTATTTACGATTGAATTTTTTTAATTAAGGTAACTAAGATACAATAAGCGGAAAATCTAGTGTAGAATTCACAATGTATATAGTATAAAATATCAACACACTTTGTTTACTGTCTACAAATATTTTTCGTTCGATCGAGAGACCTAATATCGTTCTAACTTGAAGTGTGTCACAAATTAGTTCTGTCTGACCAAGCCGCTGACCAGGTTATATTTTCCCTTGCAAGCCCCCCCCCAGTGCGGTAATGTCTTGGTAAGTGTACTGTATGGCCAGAACGTGTCGTTAACGATGGTGTTGGCAGTACCGTTGGAAAGAGTGGTTCAATTGCATCGGGAGGAACAGGTGTCATGGGATGTGTGGTTGGCTTGAGCGGTGGGTCGTCCATTTTCTCAAGGAATGCTGGCTTGAGCCTGTCGATATAGACTGTATCACGGCACCCATTCTTGTTGAGGGTAAAGAACTTGTCATTGCGTTGTATAACTAGGAATGGGCCGCCCTAGGGTCGTTGCAACGGACTTTTGACTGCATCGTGCATAACGTAAACACGTGTGGCCTGTTGTAATGCACGCGGTACATAAGATGGACGCAAACCGTGGTTTTGTGGGGGAACAGGACGTTGCTGGTGCATTGTATCCCGAGAAGAAAAATGAGAGATGACCAGACGTTGGATTCAAATTGCCGACCACGATCCGAATATGCTCCTGGCCAGGCCAAACCGTGATTTCCAACCATGTAACAGAGCACGTGCACAGCTTTCCGCTGTCATGTCGACCATCGCAATAGCCTCAGCCCACCAAGAGTAGCGATAAATGCATGTGAACAGATAGCTGAACCCTCGAGACAGCGGAATGTCAACCTAAATCTCAGCGAAACGATGG